TTATTTATTATAACATAAATATTTCAGCTAGCGCAGTGGCCAATCATAGCCACGTGAATTTAGTGTTCTCTACAATCTATTTAAATCTATCATTAGTGTTGTAGACGAAAGTTCGAAACTTTCATGCACGGCTGGAGGAATTCTGCTGGTCAACGGCAGCAACCCTTATTCGAACCACAGACTTTGTACAGGTGTGTGCCATCATCCATGGGAAGTGAATAGTTTATGAAATGAAATGAAATAAAATGTTGGTCAGCTGGTAGTTAAACTATTAATAGCCAGTCTCTTTTGATTATTGTGACTATTCGTACGTAATAAAGAAAAAGGCAAAAGAAACATACCTCGCTAATTATCCGCCACGTGGATCTTGTCAGTCCAACGTGTCGCAAGGGCGTCCACCCACATTTTGTGGTGGGAAAAAATCAAGGCTAGCTATGGTTTGAAGCTCTCTTCCAAAGTTCCCATGGCGATTCTCTCCGTGGGGATGGAGAAGTCCATGATTTCTCGCGATCCTTGCTGCGACGCCGCCAGATCGGGGCTTAGGAGCGGCTTCTTGGGGCATCGATCGAGCGGGGGGAGGTGGGAGTCGCGGCGGCGGCGCGGCGGGCATCGATCCAGTGCCCTAGTCGCGGTAGCAGGGATGGATTGGATGGATGCATTCCACGGTATTGTGATCGGGGTTGGGGTTGGATTGCCTTGCACGGTGATGGAGTGTGGCGATGTGGTGTATCGGAGCACGCTGCCCAAATCCAATTCCTTGCAGGTAACAGGGCCCGGCGCTGCTTTGGCGGTGCTCGCAGTCACTTATTTGTGGGCGACTCCTGGTGTAGCTCCTGGATTCTGGGACATGTTTCTTCTAGCACCGATAGAGAAGAGGCTCCGGCCTTCTTACACAAAGGTATTTCTTCGTTGTTTACGTAAGTCCTAGCGTTTTGGATTGAAACGAGGTGTTTGTTTCGTCCAGGATGACTTTGTCCTGGAGAAGAAGATTGGAGAAGGAGCGTTTGGATCCGTCTACAAAGGATCGTTTGCGAATCCTCAAAAGAAGGTGCTTGGGTTTTGTAGTTCTTTTGCTTTTTGCTCGATCACTTTGAAACACTTGTTTGTTAACGCGCAGTCGTTTCCAGTGGTGGTGAAAAAGGCTAGTGAGTATGGAGAAGTGGAGGCTTGGATGAACCAGCGTGTGCGACGGGCATGCCCGGGCAAATGTGCTGACTACCTTGACGGATTTAAGATGGTATGCTTGATCTCTCCTTCTTTTTGCTTGTCAATGACCTTTTATATTGGTTGGTTTTAGAGAGTCAATCCAAAGAGGAAGGAGTTTTGGCTTGTGTGGCGTTACGAAGGTGTGGCGACTCTCGCGGACTTCATGAGTAGCAAGGATTTTCCTTACAATGTTAGTGAGTTCTCAGTTCATGCAAGGATGGATTTACTGAAAATCTCAAATCGCGACAGACAGGTTGAAAAGGCGTTGAGCTTGAAGACTACACTGCTTGCCAAAGGTGCCGAGCGAGAAAACCAGATCATCCAGTCCTTACTTCAAGAGCTATTGAAATGTTTGAGGGGGCTGCACGATACTGGGATTGTTCATCGCGACATAAAACCGCAAAATATCATTTTCTCCGACGGTAAGCTTGTAGATACGTAGCCATTGTTTCTTATCAATTTTACTGTTTCGTAGAGTCGAAGTCCTTCAAGATTATTGATCTCGGCGCTGCTACGGACTTGCGAGTTGGCATCAACTACATTCCGCAAGAGTTCCTACTGGATCCAAGGTCTATTTCTTCTCAACTTCGCGTAAAGAAAGTTTCCTGACATTTTTTCTATGTTCAAGGTACGCTGCACCTGAGCAGTACATTATGAGCACTCAAACTCCCTCGGCTCCATCGCCTGTCATTGCAACAGCACTCTCTCCAGTTCTATGGCAGGTTTATACCAGTGAATATGTTTCCTGTGACAAATCACGATGTTTGTTGGTCGTTGCAGCTGAACCTGCCGGACCGCTTTGATATCTACAGTCTCGGATTGATGTTCTTGCAAATGGTAATGACATTAGTACTTCATTTCCAACTGATATAAAGCTTTCATCTGTCAATGACAGGTCTTTTCGAATTTGAGAAGCGACAGTGCTCTCATCCAGTTCAACCGGCAGCTGAAGCGCATGGACCACGACTTAGTTGCGTGGAGAGACTTGGTGGACGCTCGGCCAAATGCGGACGTTCAACGTGGATTCGAGATTCTGGATATGGACGGAGGAGCTGGCTGGGAGCTGCTCCAAGCGATGATGCAGTTTAAAGGTCGCCAACGTATCAGTGCCAAGGCTGCTCTCGGCCACCCTTACTTCGTCAAGTTGGGACTTCTCAAGGCCTCGCCCGTACAGACACTGTGGCTGGGCTTGATCAGATTTGCTCAGCAGGATAGAACGCAAGCTCTCCAATGGGTGCTGGGATTAATGGCGAAGGGATTCACCGAGGCCGAGCTCGAAGAACTGCGGGTAAGGTTTCTCTTTCCTTTTTCAGTTTGCTCGTTGTCTAAAGTTTTCTCGGGCAGGAGCGAGAGCCAAAGAAGAAATCGACCTTCCAGAGAAACGCGCTAGCATCGGCTTTGCGATTGCAACGCAAGGTTGCTCAAACTGTTGCTGCTAGCGTGGACGAGAAGATGGGAAAGAGAAAGATCTGGTGGATGGAGACGATTGATGAAACACTGGACGGACTCGAGACCAAGAAGAAAAGTTTCTGGTGGATCTGATTGATGGCTGGCAGGCCATCTCTGTGTGCTCCACCCACGCTCTACATGAAGTTAACAGGCATTAAAAACGTGGAAGCACCGCGCTATAGCCACACTAATAGTACCAGTGTGAAGAAAAAGTTTTTAAAGACGATGGAGTGTGTCTCCCAGCATGGGTCACGAAAGATCATGGTCACACGACTCAGAGATCTCGATCGTGGAGTCCATTTCGAGTTTGGTGTAAAAAAAAACTCTCGTAGTTACTTCGATGATCTTTTGATATAAGATAAGAACTCCACTCGAGCCAAAGACCAGAACTTTGTGCCGCTAGATCTTTAAGTTTGTTCCTACATGCTGATCTTGCCAAGTTACACAAGCGCGCTCGTGTAGACTCCGTTTAAAACGCAAAGCTTACAGTATCACAAGGATTTGGCACATTGACACGTAAAAGACCGTGTAAGTTTGATCACTTGCAGAAAAGAGAATGGTCGCTTTCAACTCCAGTCCACTTGATCCCGCGACTCGTGGCGAAGAACAAGCTTTGCCTGATTTTCGATGAGAGCGACCCCCGGTCGATCGAGCGAGCTTATGAGTTCCAACTTGTCAGCATATAAATCTCCTCTGCTGGATCTTGATTGATACCGATACAAATAGTTATCATATATAAGTTGATAATAATTATAATAATAGTAATAATAACAAATAATGAATAGCAATGGTAATAGTTATTAGTTACCAGGAGAAAAGTGGGAAAATATTCGAGGCTCTCTTGGCCTCCCTCATAATATGGATCCACAATCTTTCCCCCCAAACGCGCAGAAATATATACTTTTTGGTAAAAAACGATTTTTGATCAATAGAAATGCTTTCTTTTATAATATTACGTTCCTCCCCTTCGCGTTTGCGTTGCTTTCCTCTTCACCCACATTGCGTGTGTGTGTTTCTCCTCGGGCAGTCTCTTTGTCTCTTGGAAATTCTTGTTTTTCTTATTTTTTCTTTTCTACAGTCCCAAAAGGTTGATTGGGAACAGAAAATTCAACCGTTTTCTTGCCAAGAGAAATAAATTCAGCCTGACCAGTAAACCAGGAAGAAAGCTGAGATGCGAGGAAGAAAAAGGAGGTGGAAACTTCAACTTTGGGTGCATGGAATGCGTTGAAACAGTCGTAACTTTCTCCTCTTATCCTCGATACGTAGGCAGAGTGAGATTGACGGGCAGGAGAAAAAACCAGCAGGAAAAAAAAAAGAAAATAAAGAGAGAGAAGAACCTCGCGTTCCGGTCAAGAGCCAGTTGAAAAGCTCGTCGTTAATGGCATCTTCCGGCTACTTCTTCGGAAAAATCCCGACACACACACACATGCATTCATGGAACAAATGCTGCTGCAATAGAAAAAGAAGAGATCATTTTTTGAGGGAAAAAAGCAAGGAAATTCTTAAAGCAAAGCGAGAAAGGGACCTGGAAGCATATATGGTGCTGCGATATACGAAATTGACACACGATTAAATCAACGATGACTGCCTCGCGCCAACTTGTAAGTTCTTCTCCCCTCCTTCCTCCTTTCTCTGAAACGACAACAGTCAGGCAGCGAAAGGTGAGTGGCGAGAAAAAGAGAGCTCCGATCGATCGATCCAGTCGAGTCGAGTCGGAAGAGAGCGAGGATTACAGCTAGCGACCGAGCGAACGAGCGAGCGAGCATGGCAGAGACTGAGCTTACTCTGGAGTCCAAGGAATGGAACACAAGTAGTCAGAGCTCCTGGAGTCACTGACGGACGGGGTGGAAACGCTCGTGTGACTGAGTTACTTCTTTAAGCTGGAAAACAAAATGTGAGCGAGCGAGAGAGGAAGAAAAACTTTAGAACTAACCGCATGCTCCATAATAGCCGGAACTGGAAACGCACGGACGGTGTCAAGATGCACGGATAGTCCTTCACAAAGAAAAAAAGAAAAGAAAAAAATGCTTTTCAAGTCATGCTTACAGTAATCGTGCCCATCCATGAAAGTCAGAGCCTGGAAAACGAGTGTCCCGTTTAAAACCTAAGCTGAGATTAACTCACTTCTTGGTGACTTAACATGCCTTTGAAGTTGATCTGGCATAAAACCGCGACCACCATGCAACGGAAAGCACGGACGAGTTTAGCATCTGACTGCAATCAATGAATCGAGCTCGCATATAAATACACTTACGCACGGCGAGGGGTGAGGTTTTAAGCCCGGAGAGGAGACCTGGAACAAAGAACGTCGAGCGAAAAAGAGGGATTTTTACGAGCTTGGACCAAGACCAGCTTAGCGGAAAGAAAAGCTGTGCTTGTGCTCGCTATACGTGTGCGTGGTGTGAGTGTCAATCAATCAATCATCTGCAGAATAAGTTGCTTCGTGTGTCAAACTTCTGCCTGACACAAGAGCGGAAAAAAAAAAAGCGAGAAAAAAGGAGAACACCACCTCCAAAACGTAGCAGTAGCAGCCCCGGAGGAGTCATAGCCTGGACAGCGAGAGGCCTCTACACACACAGATCAGATAAAGTGCTCCCGTTAAGAGAAAAAGAGAGAGTTTGTAACGAAAGGACTTGCCTGGAGCTTGTAGAGTCGTCTTCTTCTTCCTCCTCCTCTCGCCAATAGCTCTCTCAACTTTTTTTTTGAGGTCCTTCTTAGAAGTGTCAGGCGGACCAAAGAAGATCTCTAGCGGGATCCGTGCTTGGCTACTTAAGATCCTTTCTCCTTGCTCACTTTCCTCTTTTCTCTCGTCGTCGTGAGCGTTTTCGAGAGATAACTTTCGATTTGCTGATCCATTCTTCTTCTTTGAAGTTTTCGCAGTTTCCTGCAATTCGTAGCGCTTGAGTTGCGGACCATTCTTGAGTTTCGTGCCGTGATTTCGAAAAAGAGAGAGTTTGTGAATGTTTTCCTGTCTGCTGCTTGTCGCGCCTAGCATTCCTTGATACCCGGGGCTTTAGAGTTTCTCTTTCTCTTCTTCCTCAACTTCTCCTTTTAGACCTCTCTCTCGGAGAATTCCAAGTCTTTTGAGAGAGGTCCTCGCCTAGAGCTCTACATAGCTTTCCAAGCTATCCAGCCGAGAGCAAAAGCTTCCCTCTCGGCTCTCAGCAAATTTCACTTCTTTCTGTCAAAGGTATAGAAAGAATTTCAGCCATCGATCGAGAAGAAAGGGAGATGGGACGAGCACCTTGCTGTGAGAAAGTCGGCCTTAACCGAGGTCCTTGGACACGAGAAGAAGATCTTCTCCTCACCCAGCACATCAGCCTCCACGGCGAAGGATCATGGAGAACACTTCCAAAAGCTGCAGGTAAAATTCACATAGTTGTAAATCACTCGAAAAAAGAGAGCGAGAGAGAAAACTCTCGGAAGAGATTTTTCGTAGCTTACGCATTGTTCGTCCCAGGACTTCGTCGCTGTGGCAAAAGCTGTAGGCTCCGGTGGATAAACTATCTTCGTCCAGATCTCAAGCGTGGAAACATCTCCGAGGAAGAAGACCAGCTGATTATAAAACTGCATTCGCTGCTCGGCAACAGGTCTGGAGTTTTCACTTCCATCTCCAGTGTCATCACCTTTGCATTCTCCCCCTCCTCCCAATCTTCTTCCCGTGATATCTCCAATGCTCACGAGTTTCAAGTCACACTTCCTTTGTTTCTTGCTCCTCCACCGACAAGGAACCATTTTTGATAGCTCGCCAGCCGCCACGCAAATCTCCCCAGCGAGTTAAAAAAGAACTCCCCCGTGATTCTTGTCTCGCGGTTTTTCTAAACTTTCCTTCTCGCGTTTGTCTCCATCTCTCAGGTGGTCTTTGATCGCTGGACGGCTCCCTGGAAGAACTGACAACGAGATTAAAAACTATTGGAACACCCACCTGAAGAAGAAGCTCCGCAACATGGGCATCGATCCCCAGACGCACCGCCCGCTGCCACAGCACGACCCGAGCTGCCCGTCCTTCCACTCCAAAAACACCGCCGCGGCATGCAGCTGCCACCCGGACGCCGCGACGCTGGAACAAAACACCGGTGCCGCCAGCGTCACCGCCGCCGCCACCACCACCTCCGCTGGTATCACCATGATATCTCCATCTCCATACGCCGCTGCCACGGACGAGCGTCCTCGGCCAGGAGGAGAAGTCTTCTCGTACCAAAAACTCCTGGGGATGGGCTCGGACCAGATTCTCGACGTGGAGGAGGAGGACGAGGAGGAAGCCCGGCTCAAAGGACCACCATCCTCTCCCATCAGCATCCTCTCGCAAAACAGCTCTGGCCTCACCGAGCGCTACCACCACAAGAACATCAAGTCGGGGGGCTCCGGGGATCACTCCATCACCTCCTCGGCCGCGCGGGACATGGAGTTTTGCGAGCTGCCGAGCCTGTCCGCCACCTGCGACACAGCTACCAGCTGCTGCTCGGGGACCATGATGATCAAACCGGGCGACCTCGGATCGTCGCCGTCTTTCGAGTTGTATCCCGTGGCCGCGGTGGAGTGGGATGATCAGCACGGCAAGCACGACGCAATGCATGTCCCCATCCCGCCGCTATTCAGCGAGGCCGAGGCTCACAAGGATCATCACCACTCGTCCAGCAGCCTGCTGCTAAATATCATAAACTCGGACGGACTGTGGGACGTGGAGATTGTCCGGCCTATCGAGGAGTTGGATCCGTCCATGATCATCACCGAGGCCGCGAATACTGATCTGTGGGAGTCGCATTATACGTCGTGCGTAGCGACAGGGCTGTGAGGATCAATCGATGGGTCTGTGAAGAAAAAAAGTGATCTTTAAAGAGATATAAGAATACTCCCTTGCGAGGAGAATTGGCTTACTCGCAATGCAAATGCTGCAGAGCTTCCATGTCCAAACTTGTTTCGCTCCAGGTGGAATGAAAACGTCAAATGGAGATCATCACCTTTTGTACGCGTAATCTGTTCATAGGAAATTCTTAAGTTGGAGAAACTCGTTGAAGATCTGGAAAGTTTACAAGAAAAGGTATAGTTGCACACGTGAATCCTGGTGGATAAAATGTTTCATAATGTGTCGCCATTTATGGAATCGTTGTGGGAAAATATTTGGCTCCCATTCAATCGCTTAGAAGATTCTTCTATGAAAATGGTACCTGATCACAATCAAGAGAAATTGTCTTGTGGATATGAAAGGAAAAACAATGCAAGTTGTACCTCTCGAAATTCATGCCTTCTTCGCTGGAGACCGCCCGATGCTTGAATATCCACAGTCTTGACGGGGAGAAAGCTCGTCACTGCAATCTTAAAATTCTCGAGTGAAGATTGCAAGTTATTATCTTTGAAGAAACGCTTAAACGCTCTGATCTATGGTGGGGTGAGTGAAGCATGCGATCAGGACTCGGGAGTGTCTTTGGCATTCGGTGAAAGAACAGTGCAGTAGACATGGAAATTGGTTTTAGTGTTTGCCACGACGTTGGCTAACATGCCACGTTGGCATGTTGCGTGAGCATGACACGTTGGCACACCAGCACAGAATTGCAATATGGAAGCACAAGGAAGCGACTGAAAAGTGGGAGTGCAGGGCCAAGAACTTCTAATTTATTGGGAAGCAAGTTGCAACTAACTAGACTACTATGATCAAGCCACAAACCAGCTCACCAAGATGGCCAAGCAATGGTCAAGAAGAAAGAAGGAGCCATGGAGACAAAGAGAACGTGGGCAAAGGCAACTCAACTTTCAAGCCAATAATTAACCAAGATTATTGCCAAGAGATGCTATGGAACAAAGAGAGGCCAAGAGCTCCTAACCCATTGAAACCAAGAAGAGCAAGCACTTGTGAAAGTGTGATATATCTTTAATTAAGATATCAAAATGTAAAATGCATTAGCTATATATATAAAACTATTATTCAAAAGAATCCATTTCGGACAAAAATGTTAGAACACCACTCAATTGAGGAAGAAGTATTTAACAGTAGTTGTAAAGGCACTAGCAAGAGCTCTAACTTCCATTCAACGAGTTAAGTAGTCAGAAGCAATAATGACATACTCATTACTAGCAGTTGATTGTGGAAAAAAGTCTCATCAGATCAAATGCCACCAACTCAAACAAATAAGAAATTGCAATTGACTCCAACCTTTTTCCTATAGCACAAGAGGAAGTATTACAAGTTTGGCACCAAATGCAATTATGCATATAACAAATAACATCACATTGCATTTCTGATTAATAGAAAGACTTGCGTAACTTCTTTGTTATATAACAATGTCCCATATAACCACCTAGAACATGAGAATCATGGTAGGTGTGGAGGAAGCTTGGAATAAATATTGAAAGCACCACTAGTCGTAAATGATCATCATGATTTGTCCCCACAAATACAAAAACCATCCCCAAGGCAATATTAAGAATGTAAATGCTGAAATAACAAGTCATCAGTGAGTGATGCAAGATTTTTAAACCTATCACAAAGCCTTCAAATCCACAGCTCAATCTTTTAAACTTTACGAACCTCATCAAGAGAGGATAAATCTTGCTTTGCACCTTGTGGACACTTAACATCAAGTATAATAACCACCAATGGTACAAAATCCTCATTTAAAAAATCCACAGATGCTAGAATAATAGGCTCATTAGAAACATAAGAAGAGAGCGAAGAAGGAAGAGGAGCTCGAGAAAAGGTATTAGCATTAGGTATAAAACTCTTCAGCCGATGAACAACATCAAAATTGAAACTTCAAAACCCACTAAGCAATATGACTAACTAAGTTCTTCCACTTTAATAATGAAGTAACTATAGCATGATCACCTTTGAGTAATATTTAAGAACTATGTAATTATGCGTGAAGTTTCTTGAAACCCCAAATTGTTACTAAACACTTATTCTCTATTGTGAAGTAGTTCACCTCCGCTAATTGTAAAGTACAATTGATATATACAATAGGATGATATTAACCAAGCACACTCAGGCTCTCTTGTATCAACACACCTCTAAAACTGATATCAGAAGCATTCACATACAAAATAAAAAGTCAAGTATAGTTAGGATATGCCAAAATTGAGTTGTCAATACCTCTTTGAGATCAATAAACGCCTGCTCAGGGGATGGCCCAAAGTTGAGTTGAGCTCATGAGTTGAGCTCAATTCAACACAAGTCAACTCAAGTCAACATAGTCAATAAGAAATATTACAAAGGAGATCTAAATTGAACAAATGAAGGTTCTAGCAAACTTTAAAATATTAAAATACGTAAATATCTAAGTTAAAAGTTTCTATAAGATTGAATTGTTTAAAAAAGACAAAGTTCATGAGAACCTATCTTTTATAAAACTATATTATTTTATTATAACAACTGTTACAGTTGTCATATTTGATTTGATTACTTAATATTTTGAATACTTTTACAGTTGTAGATACTATTCTTTCATTCAAAAGATTTTTTAGGGTTCTTGAGAAGATGGGAAGCAAGGAAAATACAAGATCTGTGAGTAAGAGTTGTAGTGCAAAGGAATGTGAGAATGTTAATTTTGTTTCACTACCACAATCTCCATATTACACTCCTGGTCCTTATTACCCACCTGGGAATGTAGAGATCACTATCACGATTGATAAAAATGCTCTTGTTACTTCTGAAACAACAGTCCAGAGCAAGAGAAATGAAGAAATGAACAGCACAGCGGAAAGCACCAAGAAATCTACTCCATAAAACTTTCCATGACATTTGTAATTTACATATTAATTCATATTAAAAACTCTATTGCTTGCTTATATCGCAATCCTCTCATATGATAAGACCAAGGTATATTTTGCAGTGAATCCTCATTAAAAGTTTTTAGGAATTGTTTGTAAATAATGATAAAAGAAATCAAAATCTTTCGAAAGACTCAAAAGTAATATCACATCAAAGAATCCACTTTATCTACATTTCCAAGACTAAAAGGCAATCTCATATGAGAAAATGGTAGCGTGCCAACGTGCTCTACCATTATAATGTGTTCTATATTTCCTTGCAATTTATTTCCCTAGACATTTGGCATGTGTAGAAAAGAATATATGTGTAGCAAAGTAGGATTCATCATAATGATAAAGCATGTGTATACACGATAATCTAAAATTCTAGAAGCTCTTATGTTTACAAAAAAGTTATGATTATAAAGCCCCATTTCCAAGACTGACATTTAAAGAATCTGAGTATTGTCAGTGTCATAATAAATAAACCTCATTCCCAAGAATCTGAGTATTGTCAATGTCATAATAAATAAACCTCATTCCCAAGAATCTAAATATTGTCAGTGTCATAATAAATATACCTCATTCCCAAGACTAAAACTTAGTATATAAACTATCTAGAAAAGTTATAGTCATTGTAGGCTTTTTGTTCTCCTTGAGCTCCTTAGAAGTTTATATTGAAATGGCTCAAAGGAGACCCATTGCTAATCGTACTTGGCCCCTCAGCATTTCACATCAATCTCCACCTCCATCCCCAAGTTCTACCAACATTCCACCTTCACCTCCACATAACAATCCTTTTTCTGCTAAGGGCTCTAGTGAAGCTGAATTAGAGCTCCCTATATGTGAAATTCCTTATCTTGCTACTAGAGAGGGATTGCCTCCAACGCTTCAAGAGCAATGCCACATGTTTTTGCAAGATCTTGCTCCTGACATGGCAAGATTACTTGAAAGCACAGAACGCTATTACATTCGATGTCTAATATGCTACTTTTTCTTGGACAAGACAAATGGCTCTATGGGTTTACAAACTTTTCTTGAGCACTGTAAGAATTGCCCAACGGCAGGTCTGGAAAATGTGCACGTGTGGATGTACAATAGATTCAAAAATGAGTTACAGACACATACCCACTATCTCTTCATGGTGAGGAACAACATCCCCTTGGGAAACATTGCATTGGCTAGTGCAAAATATGGGGTTTTTAGGCCACCCTATAGTGGAATGTAAGATCTAGAATTACTTTACTATACTATAGTATTGTCACTATTAAAAGAAAAAATATAATAAAATGATATTAGTTGTAGGTAACATACCTTGTTCTAGAAGGTGCTATCATATCACATACAATTGTTTACAAAATGTTGAAGGAGGAGATGGCAGCACACAAGCGCTACAAAGTGATGGTGACAAGTGAGAATGATAATCTATAATTATGGTATCTGACACTGACACTGACATCTGACAATTTTATTGACATCTGACACTTTCACTGACATCTAACACATAACAAGCTTTCCATTTTATTTAAGGATGCAATTAACTTTCTTCTGCCTCATCATCAACATAATGATTTCTTTTATACTTCCTCCTATATTGGTATTGTGGGGAAGATTCACCTTGCATATGTTGTTGATTCATAGCTTCTGCATAGTCAGGGAGACTTCCAAAGCCTCCAATTCTAGAAACTCCAGATGACTGTGATCTATAAAATAGAATGAAATATATATTGAAATTTTAATAAACATAATTTACCTCCTTGAGGTTGAAGGCAACTCACGAAATCCTCTGAGCCGGCGTTTGAAGAAATGATGTTCTTCAATAGCAAACACCGACCTACCAGAGTCACGTGCTGCCTCCACCATAGAACCGCTACCTGCTGTGCAATCAATCACAACACCATCTGGTGGGCAATAGAGCTCAAGCAAGACTTGCATTGCCGATGGAGTTCGGAATCGGTACCCTGGAAACGTGTTGCGGATCTGCTCATCCACAAGGTTGGGTATGATGTTAGTGGAACTGTCATACCCAGGCAAAACACGTGCTGCACGTTTGCTATCACGAAACCCATCATGTGTGTTTCTGCAGAAGGCATGATAGGTCCACATCATAACCTGGAAAATAAAAATGTTTAAAAATTAGATAAAAATATAAAATACATACTCACCTTTTCAGGCTTCCCTTGGACACCCCTCATATCAACGCCAATAGGATCCATGATGCA